CATTTCTAATACAGAATAACCTTTACCAGTACCAAGATTATAAATCTAAATAAGAAAGAATAAAAAAAAAATTTAAATCATTATCTATTACTAACTTTTAAACCACAATTCATTTCAAATTGTTTCATTGCTGCAATATGATCTATAGCTATATCAACAACATGTATATAATCTCGAACACCTATACAAATTCAATAGTTTTTTAATGATAAGAAGATAAATTATATTTATTTGCTTATGTTTACCTGTACCATCTGAAGTATCATAATCAGTACCAAAAAAATTAACATATGGTAAACGACCAACAGCTACTTGTGCAATATATGGCATAAGATTATTTGGTTTACCAATAGGATCTTCACCAATTAAACCTGTTTTATGAGCACCAACAGGATTAAAATAACGTAAAATAATGATATTCCATTCCTAAATAAATTAACAACAATAAAAAAAGATTATTTTAATTTTAAAATACGAACAGGATGAGCAACTATTGTATCTGTAAGAATATGTTCACATATATATTTACTTTTACCATATGGATTAGTAATAGCATCACCAATACATGGATGTTTTTCATCAAGTGGTAAATATTTAGGTGTACCATAGACAGTAGCTGATGATGAAAAAAGAAAATTATTAACATTAAATTCTTCCATACACTAAATAATATTCAAATAAATATATTTTTATTTAATAATTACAAAAATAATTACTGTAAGTAAATTAAGTAAACAACCAATATTATTTTTATAATATAAAATTGGTTTTTGTACTGATTCACCAACTGATTTAAGTGCAGCACAATTAATTATTGCATAAATTAAATATTTTTTAAAAATATTTCGTAAATTTTCAATATCAAGACAATCAATTTTATAATTAATTATTGGACATCCAGTAATTTGTTCAACACGTTTTAAACATTCTAAAAAGAAAAATTTTTTTTCTAAATAGAATCAAATTTTCTATTTGATATTTTTTTTAATTTCACCTGCTGATGAATTATATTCATTATCTACTACAATTGGTGTATAACCAGCTGTAATCAATTCAATAACACAATGACTACCAATAAAACCAGCACCACCAGGTACAAGCACGTATTGTTTCTTTTGGTCACCTTTATAGAAGCATATATTTTATAGGTTCTTCTTTGAATTTATCATTGGATTTACAAACAAGTTATTGGAAAGTAATTTAACAACATTATTTAAGAGTTACGAATCGCTTTGTCTAAGTCTGCAAATTGGTTCTCAAACTTTTTATTCTGATCTGATTTTGTAAGGAACAATCTCACCTTCTGTTCTATACAAAAAACTTGCTAATATAACGTATCTCATAACTCTTAAATCAAAAGCCGAGTTCTCGGTTAGGGGAAGATCTGCTGCAGCAAAAGGATTGGTTCATTACTTCTTTGTAGATACAAAGTTTTTCAATAATTTACTATTTATAAATTCATTTACCAGTTGCTGCTGTCATTCTTTAACTTGTCAATTTATCAGAATAATCTAAAACCAATTATACAGATAACTATTTGATTATTGCAAATAATTCTTTATTTTATGTGCGAAGTATATGAATAGTTATTGAATTGCTTTATTTCTTTTTTGAAACTTAAGAAACATAAGAACAAAAAAAAGGAATGCGGTGAACTCCATTTATAAGCATAAGTAAAAAGAAAAATGCACAGACAAATAAATAAATACGATAAACACTAACAACAAAATGAATATCACTGGGGCTTTCTTATTTCCCATCCAACAAATTAAACACAAAAACAAAAAAAAATACTACTTGATGTAGCAGCCGTTCTCACCTGTTCAAAACAAAAATGAAACCATGGATCTTTTCTTTTATAAAGAACCATATAAACGCAAGGAATTTGGAACGTCTATAAGAAAAAAAAAGCCTCAAATGAAAGCGCAGAGGAAAAAAAATGTGTTAAAATATTAATAGTCAAAAAACAATTACACTACGAAAAACAAAAACAAACAGAAAACATTTTTTATTAAACATTTGCAGTAGGCGTTCCAGAATCACGTCGAGGTTGATTAAGAACATTAAAATTAACATTAAATACAATCAAACAACCTGTAGAAAGACCTGCCATGATATATCTAAATTAAACAAAGAAATATATATATATATATTTTTCTGCATACATAAAAATTTATATAAAATATGATAGTGAGAAAAAAAAAACAAAAGAACTCTTTAATTAGTTATTATATAATAATCATTTGTTTTTACTTTTGATCATGAGTTATTGCTAATGAACGAATACTAGCATCACATTGTGGATAAGCATAAACAGGTTGTAAATCATGTGTTCGAATGATTTGTACAAAACCTCGATCACCACCAATAACTGTATATTGATTATCAGCATTTAAAACCATACACTAGACAAAAATAAAAAAAAATAATTATTTTTGTCTTTTTTTTTTGTTTTGCTTTTACTTGAATAGTTTCATCTTCAAATATT